ATTTTTTTTTTTTAATAAGCTTAAAGTTTGTATTTTAATCCAAAGGGAAATATATACTTCAATTTCTGTGCTTGAGTTTTGTTTTTTAAGATGTGGGCCACTATTTCACGTGTAATCTTTTTCTCTTCTTATAACATGAGAAGTTTAAACCCCTTTTTTAAAAAGCATAATTTAAAGTTGATTTTGTTAATCCAACTTATGTTTCACTGTTTCTCCTTCTTATTCCCCTATTCTCTTTTTTACGATTTTGTAGTTGAAATCATAACCGTCGGTGGAGAATCAACCCAAGAGCTAAGCTCAAAATCATTAGCATAATGTTAGAAATTTTTTATATAAAGGCAATATTAATTAATTTTTTTATTTTTTTAAATTAACTGGATTGATGGACATTTCAATTGAATCTGTTATAATAAGTTTGTTGTGATCATGATGAGTTGAATTTTTTACATCTATTGGTATTGACCTAGTTAGGCAGCACAATGTAGGTATTAGCGTCTAATTAGGCTTTCTATGATGCGTGAACCCATCCCATCAGACACACTGTTGATTAAGGTATCGCTAAATTCCTTCTCTAACTTATTTTATATTAGGATTAAGTCTCATGAGTCGTCATGCTCTCATCGCACTAAGGCTGTCACTTTCGGAATATGTCATAGAGAGGAAGAAATAGGTCTTAGAGAGGAAGATCCTGACATATAGTCTCTCATTTACCCATTTGATTCTATTATCGTTTGGTATTTTATAATCATACTCATGATCCATAACTATTAAATCTTTCATAATAAGTAAGACAGGTGATGGAGTCAGGATCTTTATCCTAGTGGAGTAAGACCTAATTTCCCTGTCGGGTCAAGTTAAAAGTGATAGTATATGTCCACAAATGTCCTAAACTCTCTTTTTTGTTGGTGGGGCTAAGGGTGATAACACGCGAGCCAAAAGACAAAAAAACAAACAATCAGAATCAAGTTACAAAGTTATGAAGTAGCCAACAGAGGCCATGCCTGCCAAAACTAAATTAAAAAGATCAAGGGGAGGGGAATAATAGAATCAGCCTGATGATGATCCCAGGAGAAATTAGCCTGATTCCCTTCCCTATAGACATGCTGAAAATGAACTGTCCAGTCCTTATATATCCATGCTTGTATCTAAGTCACCAGATACGATTCATGAGCAGCATCACAATCCTCGGTGAACACCGCAATTGCATTACTATAATCACTTTCCATTATCACCTTATTCTAGTCATCAATCCAAGCCTTTTCTAACCCTTTTAAGATCCCCTAAAACTCTACAACCAATGTTGAGCAGCAACCTATGTTATATGTGAAGCACCTAACCAATGGCCAGCATGATCGCAAATCAAGCCTCCACACGCAGCAAGGCCAGGGTTGCCTCTAAAGGCTCAATTAGTGTTGATTGTAATCCAATCCACCTCGGCGGGCATCCAGGAGTAGGGCTGCACAAAATAACTGGTTCACTTGCCCCGCCTTTGATCTGACCTTGACCTGATCCATAAATACCCTTTTTTTTTTGAACTGGATTTAATACTGACCCACTTTATTTGGTCAGGTTTTAGACCTGACTCATTTAATAATTAACCCATTGACCCAAAACTTGACCCATACCCATTATGTGAAAAAAATGAAAAAAAAATCACAATTACATTAAAAGAAAAGTTTTAACGTAAAATAATTACGTCAAAATTTTTTACGGAAAATATTTCCACGAAAAATTTTCGCCAAAAATTTTGACAAAAAATATTTTCATCGATATTTGTGACTAAAAACATTTCTGTAAAAAAACTGTGAGGAAATATTTTTTTTGTCAAATTTTTTTACGGAATCTAAATTTCGTCAAAATATTTCACAAAAAAATATATTCATCAAAAATTTCGACGAAACACATTTCCATCGAAATTTTTTGACCGAAAAAAATTTCATCAAAATTCTTTACAGATTTCAAATTTCGGCGAAAGTTTTTGACGAAAATATTTTCGTTAAACTTTTTGACAAAAAAAAATTTCGTCGAAATTTTTAGCGAAACACATTTCTATTGAAAATTTTTGACAAAATATTTTCGTCAAGTTTTTTGATAAAAAATATTTCCATCAAAATTTTCAACGGAACACATTTATGTAAAAGAAATTCGTAAAAATTTTTGACAAAAATATTTCGATAAAAAATTTTGACGGAAAAAATATTCTGTCAAAATTCTTTAGAGAATCTAAATTTCATCGAAAGTTTCGAATGAAACATTTCCCTCAACACAATTTCCATCGAAAATTTCGACCAAACATATTTCCATCAAAAAAATTTGACGGAAAAAAATTTCATCAAAATTCTTTACAAATTTCAAATTTCGGTGCAAGTTTTCGACGGAAAAAATTTCGTTAAAATTTTTGACCAAAAAAAAAATCATCAAATTTTTTAGCGAAACACATTTCTATCGAAAATTTTCAATTAAATATTTTCGTCAAGTTTTTTGATAAAAAATATTTCCGTAAAAATTTTCAACGGAACATATTTCTGTAAAAAAATTTCGTAAAAATTTTTAACAAAAAATTTTTTGATAAAATTTTTTGACGGAAAAAATATTCTGTCAAAATTCTTTAGAGAATCTAAATTTCGTCGAAAATATCAAATGAAACATTTCCCTCGAAACAACTTCTGTCGAAATTTTCGTCAGAACACATCCCAATCGAAATTTTGAACGAAAAATATTCCGTCAAAATTTTTGACATAATTCTTTTTTCGTTTTAAACATTTGATGGAAGAAATCATTTTCGTCAAAACTTTTGACGGAAACTAAATTTCGATAGAAAATTAATTTTTGTAAAATTTTCATTAGAGAAAAAATTTCGACGTTTTTCGACAAAAAGTATTCCGACGAAAAAATAATTTTGTGATGAAATTTTTGTCATTTGCAACGTAGAAATTTCGACGAAATTTTGTGAGGAAACCAAGTCAAAAACGGGTCAGGTCAGATTTGACCCACTTCAGAATCCAAGTTAGACCCACTTCAGAAACCAAGTCATGTCAGATCTGATACAGTTCTGAACTAGTTCAACAAAATCCAAACCAAGTCAGACCTGACTTGGATCAAATTAAAGCGGGTTGAGTCAAAATACCTAACCTATAAAAACCAAGTTGGGTCGAGTCGGACAAAAACCTGACCCGACCTGACCCATGCACAGCATCCAGGAGATCAATACATCATCTCTCCTTCTTATGGTAGTATTTGGTGACCCACGCATGTTGGACTCGATGACTTGAGTTGCAAGTTGCAGAACTGAACGTGCCCTGTAAAAATCATTCTTAGCATTTTTCCTATGAACTTGAACATTCCTCCAGTGGCAGATTTATGAGCAAGCTAAGAAGAAAATCGTAATCCAAGGGGTCTCTTAAATCCTTATATCTACTGCTATTAGGTTCTTTTGAAGCCAGGAGCTTAAATCACCTTGGAAAAAATCTAACGCCTTATGTGCTGGAACTAGATCACTCCATAATCCTCTAGCTTGATCACAATCCCTTAGTGCATGGAGGATGGACTCATCTGCTTGCTGACAAATGGGGCAAGAGGGGCTACTTTAACACGAGTTAGCTCTTTTTATTTGTAGAGGGGAAAAATGACATTTAATTAGTTAATTTATCTATTTCATGATTCTAATTATTATTTTAATAAAAGTTAGATTTTTATATATTCTCGTGATACGGATGCAAAAATAATTTATACAAATATCAAATTAATCTCTATCTTATGAGTCTGAACACATCCATATTTGTTTTAAGGAAATACATCTCTATCTTTTTCCAATGAGTCAAGAACAACTAATACTTCCAACATATGGAATGCAAGCCGCGTCAACTTTTTAAAAAAGAGATAAGATCAATTTTACACGGATCTAAGAATAATAAATCTTACACTAAAATTTAACAATTGATTTTTGTATATCTAATGGTTGAGATTTATTGAGTCTCATTAATTAATTAATTATTAATTCTTAATAAATTACAACTGTTAGATGAACAAAAATCAATGATCAAGATTTGGTATAAGACTTATTATTCTTACAAATATATATTTAAAAAATTAATGCTTTTTAAAAACCTTAACACAAGCTTATTATATAAAATATAAGGGAAAAATATTTGTTATTTTAAATAATACAACTTTGTGTCATTTTAAATGAAATGATTATATTTTGATATTTGTTACTTTCTCTCTCTTCTATAATACTTTCTCTTTTTCACTTCTTATAATTTTGTGGAGGAGAAGAATATAAAAAACAATCAAATATGGACTAAAATACCGTTATTTTAATTAAAACGACACAGAGGGAAATATATTGTAACAATCAATTAGTGTTATTACTAATATTACTATCAATCAATTTCATTGTTAAATCGATTATGTTGATCCAATGATTATATTTATTTCCATATTTGTATGGTTATGATTCTCCATATTCAATACTTTATATTTATTTTTACCTTTGTATGATTATGATTTTTCATATTTAATGTTTTCACATTAAATATAGGGAATTATAAGCATACAAAGGTGGAAATAAATATCACCGTTGGATCAACATAATCGATCTAACGATAAAATTGATTGGTAGTAACATTAGTAGTAATACTAATTGATTGTTACAATATCCTACCCTATTTTTTAAAAGTGAAAAATATTTGTTCTTTTAAATGTGGTCATTTCAGTTAAAACTATTATTTTTATTTAAAATTTAAATTAAAAAACCATCTATTTTTTTTCCTAATGATTTTTATTATATATTTTTTTATCTCATTTAAAATATCATAATTTTATATATTTTTAAAGGTCAAATACCAAACTTCTTTTTGAAATGATAAATATTTTTGTTATAGATGATTTAAAAGATTACAAACGACCCGGGCTGACTGGGTGTTACCCGAAACAATCCGGGTCAGGCAGATCACGTCACGGTTAATGAGAGTGGGAGTGCTTCACTTTTTCGTAGTTTTCTTTCTTTCTCAGGCGGGAGATAGAAGCAGCTGTGTCGATGGCGGAGCCCTACTACCCATACGCTGCTCCGGCTGCCGCTGACGGAGGTACTTTAACAAAACGCCAATTTTCTCTTCCTACTTTTACAAAACTCCAATTTATTCTTAACTACCCTTCCCAACGCAAATATGTCAAACCAGAAAACCAAATTTGCATGTTTTTATAATCAGTTTCATCGGAGGACAAATTTACGGGATTCATTTCATGCTTTGGGTAAATTTCAAGAAATACACTTAATCGAAAAGCTGAAACAAGTTATATAGACATACGTTTGAAACCTAGAGAAGACTAGTACTAGTAGTACTTATATTCATAGGACATTTCTGTTTCTTCTTTTACAAATGATCATTAAACTCATGTTTTGATTGGTTCCTCTGGTTCTGCCAGCAAGTATTGCGAGAACTAGCTTTGCTGGTTATTTTCCATCCGAGGCACCATCGTTGTTTGCTTCTCCTCATCCTCATGTATCAAATTCGACCGAATTGCGGGGCTTTGGATCAGATTACCTGCAGAAAGATGTAAAAACTAATTACTATTGAGTTTAATAATGTAATGCATGTGGGAGGGAGAGATAACTTTTCACTTGGATTATCTGCAGATAAACCTGTTGCGGATGGGGCCATACGGTGTTGGTGATTCTATGGGATCGAGAGTGCATTCTGAACCTGTTATTGTTCCAGCAGTGCCTAGCATTAAGGGTTATTCATCTCTCGAAGATCCTGATCTAAATAAAAAACGAGATACTCCTTCGGGTATTGATCCAGGTGTTCCTGCTATAAATAATGAAACACCAGTCTCTAAAAGCAATTACGATGGTCTTCCAATTTCAGCGGCAGAATCAAACATTTTGTTTGTGGATGGACTTCCAAAGGACTGCACTAGAAGGGAAGTCGGCCGTATCCTTTACTGCATATACGTCTGCTTTTATGCTATTGCATATATTTTTTTTGTTCCTGGAGTATGGATAATCCATAGGAAGAAAGTGTTTTCAAATTAAAATCTTATTGGACTTATTCTATAAGATCCTTTTTAGCTATTCTTTGTTTCAAAGTTAAGCAGAAACTTTGTGTGGACAGTAACTTGCCTTTTAACAGTCTATGAAAATGACAATACAGTGCCTGGAATGACATGAATCATATTTCATTTTGCTGTTTATATGAAGCCTTGACCTATAACTGTAGATCTTTTCCGGCCCTTTATTGGCTATAAGGATATCAGAGTTGTTCACAAGGAGCCTAGACATGTAAGTGTATTAATTGAGAATTCCATGTTGATTATCTTAGCAGATTCCAATAAAAATGTTATTATAGTTTTGTCTGGGAAAAGAAAGAATACTCATGAGATCGTGATTATTTTGCGTTTTAAGCGATAAGCTATTGCATATACACTTTCATGATGTTCCTCTTGTAATATATCAGCTATGATTGTTAATTATATTTAGTGTAGAATGTTAATGTACGTTATTTCTTTTTGCTTGATGTATTATGAATATTTAGTAATTTTCAAATGACCAAGCATGCTGCAGAGTGGAGACAAGGCTATGATTTTGTGTTTTGTGGAGTTTAATGATTCCAAATGTGCTCTCACTGCTATGGAAGCTCTGCAAGGTAATTTATTTATTTAATTTTTTTGTTGTTGTTGCATATAATTGAGTTTGATGTCTACCCGCACAGCCAATATTACTTGGTGTTGACATTATGGGGATTAGACTGAAAATTAGGAAAAGGGAGATGACCTTTGAATAATATGAGATCTGATTATATGATGATGTGTTTCAAAATACAGAGCATTAACACTTATTTATACCACTATTCTAAGTCATATACTAGTGCAATACAACTAGTACAAGCCCAACTCAATAAGCTACTAAATAATAATTTGCGTTGAAGATGTTTTTTCTGATGTTATTGGACAAAGTAACTAAGAGTCTAATGTCTGTGACTCTGAATCCACCAGAAGCATCATGTATGCTTTGTATGTTACTATGTTAATTGGATCTTCATAACTATTTGTTTATGTAATTTATTCTTCGCCAAAAGAACCCCCCCTCCTCTTGTTAAAGAAAGAAAGAAAGAAAACATAGTTGAATTTTATTAGTAAACATATCCATAGTTATCAATCGTGGGCTGGGCCGATCCCAAAAACACTATAGCGGTATAGCTACTACAATGAAGTTCACATTAATGGTATGCTAAATTATACTACAAATTATAAATGCCCAAAAATAAAAAAAAATTAGGGAAGGGATATACTTACAACTATTTTAGCATTATCACTCTTACTACCTGTTTGGTTACCGTTGGATCAATTTGAAATCAACGGTTGAAAAAGAGGAAAAGTTAGTTGCCGTTGATTTCAAATTAATTTAATGATAACCAAAGAGGTAGTAAGAGTGGTATGTCTAAAATGGTGGCAAGTATAATTGCCCCCATAAAATTATCCATAATTAAAGACATTCATTCATAATAAATTCAATTGTCACTCTCATTCCAAACAAGATTCAAGGAACATATAGGAAGCAATAGAAATTCAACAACATCAACATCAACATCAACAACACCTTTATCCCAAATTAATTGGGGTCGGTGGTAGATGAACCCACATGAAAGATACAAAACGGTTGAAAAAAAGTAAAAAAATAAAAAATAAAAAATAAAAAATAAATAAATAAATAAAAATACACAAATAAAATAATAAAATAAAATAAAATGAAATAAAAATATATGTATATATAAATAAATAAAAGTAAAAAAGAAAGGGACAAGAAGAAGTGGGGGAAATGAAGGGGAAAAGGACTAAAAAAGGACCATCTGGAACATAGGAATAACAGCGAGTCTAACCCTCCACCATACTTATAGCTTTTCTCCATTCCTTTCTAAGACATACTGTCCGCCAATCTATATCCCACTCCATTAAATCTTGTTTTACTACTTTCCCCCAAGTAAGCTTCGGCCTACCTCTGCCTCTTTTTGTGTTTAGCTCTTGGTAACAAACTTCTGTTCTTACAGGAGCATCCATGGGTCTTCTCATCACGTGCCCAAACCACCTCAATCTATGTTCTCTCATCTTCTCGGCTACCGGTACTACTCCGACCTTTCGTCGAATATCTTCATTTCTTATCTTATCCATCCTTGTGTACCCACACATCCACCTTAACATCCTCATCTCTGCTACTCCCATCTTATGCTCATGTTGCCTATGTGCTGGCCAGCATTCCGCTCCATATAGCATTGCCGGTCGTACTGCCGTTTTATAGAATTTTCCTTTTAACTTCAGGGGAATTTTGCGGTCACACAAAAATGCAGATGCACTACGCCATTTCATCCACCCTGCTCTGATTCTGTGATTTACATCCTCATCAATCTCTCCACCATTTTGTAAAATGGAGCCCAAGTATTTAAAAGCATTTTTTTGGGGTACCTCTTGACCATTTAGATGCACAGGTTCTTGGTCCTCATCTTGTACCAGAGAAAACTCACACTTCAGATACTCAGTCTTGCTTCGACTTAATGTGAATCCTCTGGATTCCAATGTGCTTCTCCACAATTCAAGTTTTCTATTAACACCCTCCTTGCTCTCATCAATAAGCACAATATCGTCTGCAAAAAGCATACACCATGGCACTTCCTCTTGAATATCTTTTGTTAGTTCATCCATAACTAAGGGAAATAGGTAAGGACTTAGAGCCGACCCTTGGTGTACACCTACCGTGATAGGAAAATAACTTGATGATCCGTTACAAGCTTTTACACATGTAGTAGCCCCATCATACATATCCTTGATTGCCTTTACATACTTTAATGGAACCTTTTTCTTCTCCAGGACCCACCATAAAACTTTCCTTGGAACCCTATCGTATGCTTTCTCAAGGTCTATGAACACCATATGCAAGTCCTTCTTCTTTTCTCGGTATCTTTCCATTAGTTGTCGCATCAAGAAAATGGCTTCCATGGTACATCTTCCTGGCATAAATCCAAATTGATTTACAGAAACCTTGGTATCTCTCCTCAAGCGATGTTCAATAACCCTCTCCCACAGCTTCATAGTATGACTCATTAGCTTAATGCCTCTATAGTTTGAACAATTCTGTATATCTCCCTTGTTTTTGTAGATAGGCACAATCATACTTTTCCTCCATACATCAGGCATCTTATTCGTCTGGAGAATCTTATTAAAAAGATTGGTCAACCATTTTATTGCCACATCCCCCAGGCCTCTCCACACTTCACTAGGGACACCATCAGGCCCCAAGGCTTTATTAGTCTTCATCCTCTTTAAAGCCTCCTTAACTTCATGTGTATTAATTCTGCGTACAAATCTTCTATTCATATCATCATACGCGTCCTCTAAGTCCACCTCGCTTGTATTTCCATCCCCATTAAACAGCTTGTTGAAGTATTTCAACCATCTTTCATTTACATCTTCATCTTTCATTTCAACCATCTTCATCTTCAGCCTCCTTAACTCTGCCCATGTGTGCTTGCATGCATGGCCTGTCCCAAGCCAGGATAAAGGAGGAGGGTTGGCGTCAGGTGTTGCGAACCGGCCGTAAAAAACAGCTATATTTTTATGTGAAGCAATAGAAATTCATTGAAAGGAAAATTAACAACATTCAAGGAACACAAAGGAAGGCTCTAAATACTGTCAAATACAAATTTCCATTGTCAGTTTCAATTGAGCTTGAAATACTGGGGCCTAACAGCAAGAAGTTCTGGGAAGATACTTGCTGGAAATATGAAAAATACGTTTATTTGACAGCTTGTGATAAATTGAAGGCAGACAATGACTCCAGCATTATCTTCGCGTGAGGTATGGGTCAAGTGAAAAGAGAGGAACTCACCTTACAGGCTAGTTGTGTGTTATTACCAACATTGACCAATGGGTCACCGGAAGACAGAGGAGATAATTCACTGATGTTGATGAGTCGCTGAAAATTGAGTCAATGAGAGGAGTGAGTAGGCTTGTCGGTAAACTGCCGGAATGAGTTGCAAGAATGGAGACCGAAACTGAGATCGAGAGAGAGATACCTGATAGGGCTTGCAACTTAAAAAGGGTAAATTGTAAATGTCAATTATATCCCCTTAAAAAATCAATGTTGCCCTTCCTTCAACCATAGTGCCGCCCATTATTGTCGTGATCCGCTACCAGCGATTGCAGTCGCTACTGCAAACAATCGTGTCGGGTAGTGGAAATTGATGCTGGGTGCCGCTACCCATACCATTGATAACCTAAAATATATCATATTGCTTTGTATTTATATATAAATAGGGATGTACGTTATTTGTGTACGAAGGTCTACTAAATATAAACTGAGGCTTTGCTTGTAATCTTGTCAACTTGAATTTTAAATTAGAAGATGCTTAATCATGTTATAAATGTGTGGAAAATACATTATTTACTCAAGTGTAAAATTTAATGCAGGCTACAAGTTTGATGATAAAAAGCCTGACTCGCCGACCTTAAAAGTTCAGTTTGCACACTTTCCTTTCCGTTTGCCACCTGATCATGGTCAGCAGCTTATTAGTATGACAAACTCACACTGATTGGAAATGCTTTTCTGGGGTGAGAATGTGTGTGATGCCGCTCAGATAAATTCTATTTGATGGAGAACTTTGCTTTTAGATTCAAAATTTAAGCTGTGGCCTGGCTGTTGAATATTGATTATATGGATGCAAGAATCATTTTCTGGCCACAAGCGAAAATTTCAAACTACAATGTTGGTTAGAATTTTCATGGTTACTTTTCGGCCCCTATCAGTAAAGCCTTTTCTCGATCACGGGGTAAAGATATTGCTTTGTACATTTGAGTTTTGAACCTTCGTAGATCCCACAACGGTGGGAGTTTCATGTATTGGTAGTCAGGAGTTGTTTCAATGAGTTCTGGCATCACTTTGTGCATTATATCATAGATCATGATATGCTATATACATTACTTTAGTATACTGTCTCCCCCATCGGAGGGGGATCCAGGTTCCCGGTGGTTATTTGAATTTTTTTCAAAAGCTGATTAAACGGCTTCCCGCCACTTACATGTGCCTTTGTATGCCGATGATTTATACAGTGCAAGATTCTAAATCACCATGGTTGTTACCTCATGAGAATGGTGATCGGGTATTGTTCTTGTACGTTAGTAGTTCGTTGCAAGTATGCACTTTTTTATGGCTCTCAGGGCTGTAGCTATTTGCCCCTAGTCATGCGAACTGGTGACCTCCAATTTTCACTATGGATCTTTATTCTACCATTTCTGCTGTGCCGCCATTCGTACAATTTTAAAAAGGCAACGGATTACAAATTAAAATCGATACAAAAAAGAAAATTGAAATTACTTGGCCCAATTTCTGGCATTCGGATCACATTATATGCTTAAACGGCAAAGCTGCTTTGGGGTGAAACTAGAGATTGAACGAGAGCTCATTTCTGTTCCACCATCCAACCATTTAATGAAACAATATATTGTAGTTTATATGGTCAGAAGTCAGGACTCGCACTGTGACGTATGAATTAAGATGACAATAACGTGAACTTATTTTTCTCATTTTCTGTAATCTGAGAGGTAACGTGAACTCAGCACTCTGATCAGTGTTATTAAACCCGGATCGACTCGGTCGGGTTGACCCGAAAATCAGTAAATTGGTCATACAATCAGTAAACCGGTCATATAACCGGTCCGGTTGAAGCAACGGACCGGCTATGTATCAGAACCGATGTGACCCGGTTCGACTCGGCCGGTTTTCATGAAAACCGGTGACCCGGTCGGTTAACCGGTGACCCGGTCCGGTCACAAAAAAAATAAATCATAATGGACATAATTGAATATTTTTTTGCTTATTAACTTACATAAGTTATGTATTTACAATACTAATATTATCTCAATTATGCACTATGCAAAAATATTTGATTTGATTTATAGTTAGGGATGTCATTTTCTGAACCTAAAGCCCCGTATCACGATCATTATATTTTTGTTTGATCTTTTATTGGATAATAATGTGTGATTTATTATTTTTTATATTAAAATATTTGAAATTTTAATCATTTTTTTAGATATTTGAATATGTTTATAATTTTTTAATATAAATTATAAAATTATATATAATTACCGGGTCATGCGATTGAACCAATGACCCACTGGTTGAACCAGTGACCCAATACCTCGACCGGATCAATGACTGAGCTGGTTTTAATAACATTGACTGTGACACTCGTTCTGATATATATTCCAAATATGAGGTCACGTGAACATTTTCTCTTCACGGGTTGTGGTGTCTCACTTTTATTTTTTATTTTTTGGGCTTCAACTATTTTATACATAATAATATTTTTTGTGATGTTTTTAACTAATGAAAAAGATCTATATATCATGTTTGATTTATATCGCAAATCTTATGACATTGTGAATTACAAGTAATGACACTAGGATTACTACTAATTTTAAATTATAATTTCTTTTTTTTTATGTTTTGTAACCTGGAGGTATTCTTACTCAGCTTCCTTCGACCACCTTACTCTCGAAGATGTATTGGATTACTGTCATTGGAAAAAGAGTAGGACTAATTCTCCTCTTTATTCTCGACCCTAAAACTACTCCTCGTTAAAGAAGAGGATTCTCCTCCGAGGGAGAGTTGGTTTCTTTCTTATCCCTAAAGAATTTCAAAAAATTGTTTTAGGTAAAGTTTAAATCCTTGACCAAAACAATTCCTTAGTCACTCACTTGTTAGGTGAGCTACCCTAGGGGGTTATTTTAAATTTTCTCATTTTACATAAAATTTTTTCTCATGCTATACAGTCATAATATATGAGTGGATTCCATCTTGATTTTTTTGTCTTAGCACCTTTTTGTGGACCCCACTCATATATTATGTGTGTAGCATGAGAAAATTTTATGATGAGAAAATTAATTTCCTATTTTAAAATGTAATTAACTAGCTAATAACAGGAAAATATAAAATTTCAGGCATGGAAGTACAAACATGTCATGCGTTATTTTGGGCTGGTCAAAATGGCATGCCTATATTAAACAAAACGAGTGATGGAGGAAGACAAAGGGTTCCTAGTTGTGTCCGTTTTTGTCGTTAATTTGGTCGGGGTTCCGATTCCATCTTCTGCTCCTTACTTTACGTGTTTCTGCAAGGAAAAGCCACCGGGCAGTGGCGGAACCGGTGGCGGCAGAACAAAGTTCATTGAATGATGTCTGTCCAGCAGCCGCCGCAAGATATCACAATGGTGGCTGTTGACAAAGACAAGAACAGTCGTCATGCCTTCCGATGGGCACTTAATCATCTTTACAACCCAGTCATCATCGCAGTCCATGTCAAGCACAAAAACATTCCTAATCGTAGGTACCCTTTTATCTTTCATCGCCCAATTATGCATGCATCGTATTTTGTCGTCATCATTATGGTAAACATTAATGCATTTCCTTATTAATTTGATGTAGTTTAGTTCGTCATTTCTTTTTCTTATTTATGATTACATACACATATATAATATAACATATGCAGAGGGCACGAATGTTTTCCCACCTGACGAAGAGGATGTAGCCAATATTTTCAATACCTTACGTGGAATGTGTGATCGTAAATCTGTATGTAATTGAGATTTTCATTGAAATCCATACCTTTCACGCTTCAATTATGTATTTGATCAACATTCGTACTTGAAACTTTTCAGGTCAAGATGAAAGAAGCTGTAATCGATGATAGTGATGTTGTTAGAGGACTTTTAGAATTTGCAAACAGGAATGTCATACATAGTATTGTTATCGGTGCATCGACCGTGAACCCTTTGCAAAGGTCTGTTTCTATCCCAGAGTTTCTTCTCCATATGTGTATGCATATATACTATGACTATGGGTTTCATTTTCTCATGTTGTGACTCAACTAGTGATGGACCCCATATTTATTAAAAAGAAAAAAAGAAAAGAAAAGTTTTGCAAGCAAATCGAAAAATCACAACATGAGAATTGAATTCTTATGCAACATACATGAGAAAATGTTTTTCCAAATACTATATTTATCTAATGAATTGATGTTCCACAATGCTGTGGCAGTCTGAAAAAGTCTAAAGGCTATAGTGATATACCAACAGCCATCATCAAATCAGTCCCGGATTATTGCTATGTATACATAATTTCCAAATTGAAGATTGTATCAGCTCGACCAGCAATAATACGACCAATGGCAAAAACATTTATCCCACCAAACTTGCAGGCATTTCCACCCAGTGAATCAGAAAATGTAGTAAGGTGCCAAAGAATGAAACTTATTAGCAACTTTTGAAATGGCCATGTCTTTTGTTGAGATCAGTAAAAAGTACTTCAACTCTTTTTTTTTGTTTTGGTTTGGCTGCAAATAGGGCACAAGAGCTTAGAAGTGGGGGCGTCAACGAAGGACCAGAAGCAAAGGCCTTTGAGAAGAGCAATGATGCAGTTAGAACACAGGTACGCGAGAGGCAAAGGAGTGCAGGAAGTAATCTGTCCATCGAGAAAATTGATCTATCTGGTCGGCGGCATCGGTCAATGGATGACAGAGTCATTTCAGAACTTGTGTCAATGGATGTAACTAAAGAAGATCTAGATGCCCTTGGGACATCGTCAGCTTCCCAATCCTCAGGAAGAGCAAAAGTAAGAAAGGCTTCCTATGTCTATGATCAACTCTTACAGTGGATATTGTGAATTGCATTGTCTTTGTCGTAGAACAAGAACTGCTCTTTGATGACCAAATGAAGGGTGCAATTAATAAATTAAGAATCTGACAGTCGAGTGTTTACCTCATTACAGAAGGAACTTGAAGCTGAGATGAAAAAATTGAGGCTTGAACTGAAGCAAACTATGAAAATGTACAGCTCAGCTTGCAAACAAGCAATATCAGCCAAAACACAGGTGATTTTATTGGGCAATAGGAAAACATAACGGGGAAATAGACCCTCTAAAGTTCAAGTTTTGGCTATCGACCTCCTAAAAAAGCATCTCAATAGCTAATTAGTGTTAAGCACATTGACTAGTTTTTAAAAAATTTAGTTTCTAAATATGAATACTTCAGTAAGCAAGTAATGAAAGATTTTGGTAATTTAAAAGCTTTTTTAAGTTAAGATTGATTTTGTCAAGAACTAACTCTTAGGTGAATATGAATTGATTACTGAAAATAGCCAAATGTTCCTATTGACTTTTTTTTTTAAAAGAAAATCAATTAAAAGTGCCAAATGGATATTATGAAATGACTCTAGAATGTGTGATTGATTAACAGGCTGAACAGATTCGTCAATGGAAACTGGAAGGGGAACGTAAGGTTGAAGAAGTTTGGTTATCTCACGAGGCAGCTCTTGCAATGGCAGAAAAGGAGAAGGCTAGAGCCAAAGCTGCATTGGATGCAGCTGAGGAAGCCAAGAAGATGGCTGAACAGGAAGCCCAGAGAAGAAAGGATGTAGAGATGAAGGCCAGGAAAGAGACAGAAGAGAGGGATCAGGCATTTCAAAATGACAATCAATACAGAAAATACACCATAGAGGAGATTGAAGCAGCTACTCAAAAGTTCTCTCCATCAAAGAAAGTAGGTGAAGGTGGATATGGACCCGTGTACAAAGCCCAACTTGACCACACCCCAGTTGCAATCAAAATTTTAAATCCTAATGCTACTCAGGGCTGGAAGCAATTCCATCAAGAGGTAATGATAACATGCACTGTTTTTATATGCAGTTTTGAATTTTAATTGTTTTTGCGAGAAAACCTCGCATAAAAATGCTGTTAAATCTACCATACTATTAGAAGCTAGTAAGTACGTTTGCATGTTCAAACGAGTATTATTTCATTCAGAATATGAAGTGGCTTTATATGCAAATTTTCAAATATCTTCTGGCAGAAGAATAACGTGTAGTTCTTGACTTTTTAAACTTTTGATTGTCTTTCCTCACTTTGCTATCAACTTATCATGCTATGTTATCATTATTCCAAGAATATGTTTTGTGCAAATATAACAATATACTTGTTCCTTCTTACATGCATAGATTGAGGTTCTAAGCTGCATTAGACATCCGAATATGGTCCTCCTCCTTGGTGCCTGTCCTGAGCACGGGTGCTTGGTGTATGAATACATGGATAATGGCAGCTTAGAAGATAGACTATTTCGGAAAGGTAACAGCCCTCCGATTTCATGGAGGAAACGGTTCCAAATAGCTGCTGAGATTGCAATTGCACTCCTTTTCCTTCACCAAACAAAGCCAGAGCCCATTGTGCACCGTGACCTTAAACCAGCTAACATTCTTTTGAACAGGAATTACGTGACTAAAATAAGTGATGTTGGTCTGGCACGATTAGTCCCTCCTTCTGTAGCTGATACTGTCACACAATATTACATGACTTCAGCTGCTGGAACCTTTTGCTATATTGATCCTGAGTATCAACAAACAGGAATTTTAACAACAAAATCAGATATTTATTCATTGGGGATAATGCTACTGCAGATAATCACTGCCAAGCCTCCCATGGGGCTTGCACACCATGTCAGGAGGGCAATTAAAAAGGATAAGTTTCCAGAGATTCTTGACCCTGTGGTAACTGATTGGCCAGTTGAAGAGGCTCTATCATTTGCCAAATTAGCATTGAGCTGTGCAGAGCTCAGCAAGAAGGACAGGCCAAGTCTTGCAACAGTTGTATTGCCAGAGCTTAACCGCTTAAGTGACCTTGGATGTAATTTACGCAATAATCAAGTCATTAGCAGTGATGATCAGAGCAAGAGCCAAGCCACACTTCCTCCCACACCTACACTAAGTCAACTGTCAAAGACGCTCACTAGGAGCTAGGTTCGGATATTACTTACGTACTCAACATGTAGAAAACAATCAAAATATAATTGATGCAATTCAAATTAGTAAAACATTTTCTACCTGTAGGAGCCAATCTCAAAGTTAGTTTCTAGAATATTTTGCAGTTGTAAATGGTAGTTTCATTTTTTTAACAATTTGTATTTGATATGATTTTGTCCAACTAGGAGGAGATATATAAGGATGGTGCTGGGGAAAAGGAATATTGCAGGAGTTAAAGATTGTAGATGACAGACTCAGAGCACCAAGATTCAGAAAACAAATCCAAGACATAAAAAGGACTCAAATTTTAAATTGCACGACTTGACAGATGAAGCAGGTTCATTGTGTAAATTCATTTCCTTTGACAAACAATGATACGCGGTAAGTTTTTTCATGTGGTGTTGTCATAGGGCCTTACCTTCTTTCACACTCAACTTTATAAGAATTTGCTGGAACTTAAAGTGAAAAGGAAGCTCCGAATTCCCGCTTGCAAAGCAAAGTATAATCAGATCAGCATAAAGCGTAACACTATATGAGCAGTATTGATACACATAAAGATGGATTATATTTCGAGGTTGGTATAAAAAAAGAGTGAGATTGCTAAAGAAGCGTTGCTTCGGATTCCCTTACAGTGAAAATTAAAAGTTGCAAATTTACACTGTCTAAAGTCCAAACTCCAATAAGATGATAAAGTAGTAATGGCTGGTGTTTTTCTCTGTCATTTTCCTGTGGTTATAACTCACGGGTCCCCTAATTCTCTCATTATATTCATGAACTCCAAATGTAAGAAGAAGGTTCAATAGGAGACAAATGGGAAAATATGAAGTCAAAGTTGGTTAAAATATTTTAAGAAACATGTTTCTTCATGGGGGAAGATTCAAAAATTTGGGGAGCTAGACTTTGTGATTATATTATGCATGATCATGTCATGGTATACTATTATTTAATTATATATTGACACCTTATTTAATAAGTTTCATTATATTAATAATTAAATGAAATCTCAATTTTACTAAATAATATAACAATATATATTAGATGCAAGGAATCCCCTGTTTATTTCTTTTGTTAATTCTACAAGTCACCTGGTACAAAGTTGCAGTAGTTTCTGAATCACAATATTCACAAGGCTATGAACACACCTTCTGGGTTTCTCCGAGCTCCTCCTGCTTTAGTTCAAATGGGTCACAGCAAGAGCTTGAGATTCATAAAAATAGACCTGTTTTCTTGTATCTTAAAAATTGGGTTCATGGTGCTAGCTTTGTTTGCAATAGTGACTTCCGGGGACAAAGTGGAAGCACCTTCAAGTAGTATTTTCTGCATCAGCGACTGTGTAACATGTCCAGTAATATGTTCACCCCCTCCTCCACTTCAAACAACATCATATCCTCCACCTTCACCTTCACCTTCACTACCACATTCCCCATCTTATTTGATCTTCTCACCGCCTCCTCCTCCGAAGTCACAATCACCACCAGCATCACCACCACCACCATATTCTTCAGTGGCTACTCCTCCACCACCTTTGAAGTCCTATAACCCGCCCCCTTCTGGTTTAGCACAGCCACAGCCTACAGTAATCTCAGGGCCGCATGACTATTCCTATCCCTATTACTACTTTTACGCTTCAGGCGCTTCTTCTCTTTCTATTCATGCACCTTTCTTCGTCTTGTTATTGTTGGTAACGAGTAGTTTTATAAGGTAAGGTTACAGAAAAGCTGAGATATTGTGTTTGAGTAAATGCATGCAGGGCCTCAGATATGTAATTAGCATAGGATATGACGAAATCCTTAGTCACTCTGTTTGCAAATTAAGGTTTATTACTGATCGCTGGTTATTTTTCTTCTGTCTTTTTTCTTTGCTCTAATAATGTAAAGAAATAATCACATGGAAATATGTTACTTTTGTTTGTTTTCCAATGTATCTGTCTTATCTTTTAATGCACGAATCAAATATACTGTGATTTCCTTTCGCTAAAGGTTCTGTCACTGCCTCCCTTTTATCTTCTGTTTCTCGTTTTTCCAGTCTAGTGTGTCTGTCTTCTTCTGAATTGAAGATTCAATTAGCAGGGGGGAAAAGAAAAAGAAAAAGCAGAACATAGGAAGAGGATCACGTAATGCCGTGATGCAAAGGCAAATTCTGCATTTTACTTTTGTGGGGGGGGGGGGGTTCAAGTGCTTATTACAAAAGATAAATTTTTCTTCAAATTATAATTTAAAATTTGTAAACGAGAAAGGTTTTGCAATTTAAATAAACCATTTGGCACATATATATATATATGAGCACGAGGAGAGTTATATTGATAAATTTATTTTTTACAAGCTTATAAATTATATTGTGTCTTTACTGATAAGACTTTATTTAAGGAAAAAAATTATGGGACACCAGGATCATCGTGATCCTTCAATTGAAATTTTAACATTTGGCTTAAATTTTTTTTCTCTCTCCTCTCTCATCAGCTTTTTCTCTCTTTCTCACTCCTCCATCCCACTGAATATTACGTGCTTTAGGAGCACTAAATATGCTCTCTTCTTTAAGAATATCTTACCGATAAGATATAATATAATTTATAAGAGATTATAAATAAAAGAAAATTTATAAATATAACCTGGGCACATACGAAACGTTATGGATCAATCTTTTGTTATGCAAGATTACAAGTTGTAATGCTAGTCATCAGATAAGACCTATGTAGCACCGATACCGACACGAAAAACGTGACACGACACGTCACTCCGATACGTTAATTCTAAAAAAATGTTAGATTTCGACACGTTAGGACACGTTTTGATATTAAATAATATTTTTAATTTATGTAACGGATATTATATTTAATATTCAATAATTTAACAAAAAAAATGAAACCATACTTATAATATTTATCAACTTTGTAAAGAAACATAAGATATCCCAAATATTTATATTAAACTCAATAAAATGATAATTGTAATCCAATGAATCTAATAGTTGGAACTAAAAACTCAACGCAATGCAACTTTTAAATCTTTTTGAATTTTTATAACGCGTGTTGGAGTGTCGGGGAGTGTCAGACACGACACGTCAAGATTTTTGAAGAGTCGATGCTTCATAGGATAATACTTTCCATTAACATTGCCCTATGAGGTAATCATTGTGATTATTGAGAGTTAGTTTTCTTTTTCCTGAAATTCCAAAATCTTTTATAATAAACTAATATCTTTCTGCATTCATAAGTATGATTTTTTTTAAAAAACAAATTTTTATAATATACTAATATATATTTATTTAATTAAAAAGTTTTTTTTTTTTTTGGTGAAATTAAAAAGCATTTTTAGCACAAAGACACAACGTCTTTAGTTGTTCAAATTTATAGTTTGATTATTTAAAGAGTTTTATTAACATGGACTTTTTAAATATATGTTGAAATTTTAAAATAAATAATTAAATAAAAAATAAAGTATTGTTTTAAATAACAGATAGTTTAAAACAGATAAAATAATTAAAACAATTTAATAAAAGATAATAAATATTTTTAACACATATTTTAATGAAACTTTAAAAAAGCCACTTTTTAAATCAAGAAATATTGGCAAGTGAAAGCACTAAGCCAGCTCTCGAGTTTTATAGTGTAATAATAACTAACTCTAAAACCAATATGTAAAAAATTCAATTCAATTTATAACGAAATTCATCTCAATAGGTGATTGATTAATTTATACTTAATCAATCGTTTCGTTTTGCATGAAAATAACTCTTGAATTTAAATATTTATATCGCCATTTCAGTCTTTCATTAAATTACAAAGAATAACGGTAGAAAAATAAAGAATGAAAAAGTTTGATTTGGCCGGGGCAATACAAGATTTCGATGGGATCCATCTTCTTCCAAAAAGGGGCACCGGAGGCTCCTCTCCTTCACTCTCACATTTCTCTTTGCATATGCAAATTCAATGCTTTAATTTCCATTTCTAATTTTAGTTTTCTCAATGTTGCAAGCACCTAAGTATATTTTGCTTCCTCTCTAGGAAAAATTTTAAATTTGCATTTATTTTCGGCTTTTCTTATCGGAGAAAGAGTTGATTAAAAAAAGAAAAAGGGTTTGATTTGGGTTAAATGAAGACGAGGGCAATTGAGTTGTGGGATGGTAGATGAGTGAAATTTTCAATCTTTTTTCTTAATCATTTTAAATTAAAATAAGTGAAAAATATTTGTCATTTTAGATAAAACAACATTGAGAATTTTTTCATTCTCTCTCTACTATTTTCTCTTTCTTCTTAATTTTATGGAGGAAAGAGAATATAAAAAATTATTAATTATGCATCAAAACGACACCGTTTCATATGAAATTATACAAAATTGTGTTATTTAAAATGTCAAATATTTTTCTTTAAAATAATTATATAATCTTCAAATTTTGTTTAACTTTATTGTTTAAGTTATTATTTTTTGTTTTAATTTTGGAGTAATTTTAAGATAAAAAAAAGAGCCAATCAAATTCTAAATTCTAAGCATGTTAATGTCCTGGGCCAATTTATTGGCCCAATGTTCAACCTCCAAAGTGTCCACCAACATGGCAGACTTGAAACCCATCATCTTAGCAAAGTTGCGGGATATGGACGCATCACCAGTTTTTCATCTTTCACAATATAGTCCAAAACTCGGTACTGATTGGTCCCATCACCTTTGGATAGGATCACATCACATGTATGGATTCAATGAATCACTTACTTATATGCATCAATGTTAAATGAAAAAAGGTGTATCATTTTAAATGATATAATTATGTCATTTCACTTTTATAAAAAGTTGTAAGTCTCACATTTTTATTTTTTTTATCTTTTTTTTTTTTGCTATGGATTTTTTTTTTTTTTAGAGTGAAATGACACAAATTTTATCATTTAAAATGATACATATTTTTTCCACTGCAAAAAGATACATCTAATCTAATACTTTTCACTCCACTCTCTTTATATTACTGACTTGATTTAAGTATTAAGAGCCTCTTTGACATTTTTTTTA